TTAGATTACAAAACAATGTAATCTGTAGAATAACACCTAGGCAGTTTTGTTTTCTTCATTTGAATCTTTTTTTTTTTTTATTGTTTTTCTTTTTTGTACAAGCTGGGATAGGCTCCAGCACCCCCCACAACCCTGAAAAGGACAGGTGGGAGCAAATGGATGGATGGATGGATATTATTGTACATAGTAGATCTATTCTGCAGGATTCTTTCACACTGATAATGTAACTGTCCTGTGCTTTACATAGACAATGGGACTGATATGAATGTAGAATATGAAGAACCTGCTTCTACTGGTTATCATACTGATTTAAATTTTTCAACGTTTTGACATCCTCAGTTTCTCAAATAGTCAAAGGAAGCGGTCTCTTTTGTCTGGGTGTGAGTTACAGCCTTAACTATAATGTTTTGCTGGATACAATGTGCTGCTTTCGAAAATGCATTTTCAAGTGCTTTGAAAATGTTTCAAAAAATGTGGCAAGGCAGTTGAGGAAAAAGTGTAACACATAACGCCAGTGTATCTGGGTATCCAAATTATTTGTGCGTGCATGCCGGGCCTCAGGCTTACTACTAAGCCTCAGTTCAAAGTCAGCCCAGATTACCTTTAGGAATGATGATGATAATGATGGTGAGGGAAGCTGACCCTGGGGACTCATGACTTTAAAATTCCCCTCATTAAGTCTCAGGTTAAGAGTCTAAACAAGCTTGGCAAAATCAAAAACAGCTTTCATGCTATTTCCAGGAGCAATGCAAGAACTAGGTGGCAGTCAAGAAAAGCTCCTTTTTTGGTTGCATGCTAAACAGGGTAAAGTGAGTTTTTTTATACAGTGAACTGCTGCTGCCACACGCTCAGATCTTCTAATTAGGTCCATTTTTGCTCATATTTTTTTCACCATGTAGCCTGTGAACCTTCGACCACCAGAAGTCTGACAGGGCTGATTTTGAGTCATTGTTCGCAAGCTTTTGGAAATGCCGTTCAAAGGTTCTGAGAAAGTCTAATACAGCAGCTTAGATCACACATATAATCCTTGTGGGAAGGTCTGTGAGACGAGGGTGCAAAAAACAGTCATATAAAGATATGGAGGCTACACAGACTGATCGCAGTATGAGTATGTACATGTACATGTGTAAATGTTCGTTTATTCATTTCCCTAACAGTGGAAAAATCTGATATATACTGTGTCAGTTTGCGGACTTATTGTTGGAACACTTGTATCAAATATTGCCCTTTCTCTATCTCCACCTAACCCTAACTATCTTGGTCACGCACTTGCAGACTAATCAAAAGGCACTTTAGAGGAATGCCTCTAGCGCCATTCCAGTTTGTAGCTACATAATTCAAAATCATACCTCTGTGGTTTTCTTCAGTCAGCGATAAAAGTGCTCATTCTTCAAGGGAAACATACCTGATGAGTGCTGTGGATCACTGAACCTGGAGATAAGAAGAAAGCCTGAGATAACATGCTGCTGGAGTCTGAGTAGATGTTAATAAGAAATTATATCAAATAAAGGCTGTAAAGATTAAAAGTGTATTAATATTAGTGTGTCATTGTAAAATCCAGTCATTTAATCAGATAAGACATCTTGGATGAAAACCTGGAAATAGTGGCAGATCCAGTCTTCCAGCTGAACATGTCTTGTATTTTTAAAAAATCTTTATGTTAAATGCATTTTTACCATACCTGAGAAATTCATCCTGACTTTTAGGAGTGATGAAACTCGGAGCAGGATTTCATTTGGCTACATCTGCCGGGGAGAGAAGGCTTCTCCGTAAGTGTTTTCTTTCCTTTTCTGGAATATCTGATGCAACGGAGACGTGCTGACATGCTGCAGTCATGATAGCAATGCTGTTAGACTTTTTTAAAAAGGGGAAACACAGAGTTCTCCAACTGACCCCAGGGGTGTTTGCACATCTACACCTGAATCACGTAGTTAAGTTTAGACAAGCCTTGTGGAGCTGCTGAGAGCTCCTCTCTCCACCAAACTGACTTCTCTCTCTTTCCTTTTCACACTTTTCCCCATCTCCTGCTAAACAGCTGCTCCGAAGCAGCATTTCACTCAGCCTGCTGACAGACATTTGAAGAGTCAGCCTCAGAGTGACTGGCCAGCTCCTGTTGCTATGGCTCACCTGAGAATACCAACACAAACAGTAAGAAAAACTAGAACACGGAGGCTGGTGCAAGGTGGTCAGTGCTGCATAGTCATGCCTCCACACAGTTGGCACTTCATTCCTTGCTCCATTTAATATTAATATCAGGTTACGTACATACAGGATGACTGTCTGCTGAATACAATCAAGCAAATATTTTATGTTCAGCTTTCCACATGGAACTGAGCTTTGTGGACATAGTTTAGACAGTGTTAAACATAAGGCCCGGGGGACAGAATAAGACTGGCAAAGACTAGAATCCAGTCCACTGGATGGCTCTGAACTTTGACTGTATTCCTTAGTTTTACAGTTTTTCCAAGAAATAAAGAACCAGACTTTCTGTTTATATTGCCCGATGTGCATCTGCTGAAAAGGCCAAGTTCCTCTGTGCTCCTTTTGAAATGAAGAATATTTGCTTATAAAATTTAGATTTTGTTTCATTTTTTTATGGACAGAAAATGTCTGACAATGACTGGATGTGAGTCTAAACTGGCACTGCAGTTTAGGGATCTGCCAACTATAAACATTCATCTTTTCCTTCTGCTGAAAACTCCTCATCGGTGAATTAGATTTATTTTGGAGGACCAGTGCTGACACTTGGTAAATGACCCGATAATTCACAATTATGAAGACAGACAGAGGTTGGATTAGCTTCCACGCTTGCCCGGTTAAAAGTCCAACTGCTACAACGATGGCATAAAATGTGTTACCATATAAATCAGAAGTGCTACGGAGCGAGAATTTTATGGTGCAAACATTAACCAGACTATCATCTTCCCATGATTTTCTTATTTTATTTTTATGGCTGGTATTAAAATCGGACGACACGTGAAGGACAAACTGTAGTGAAAATGATATATAAGTGCAAAAAGCAGACAGACAAGTGCATTGGTATTACCCACCAATCTTTGCTTCATCTGCTCTCATACATAAATCATCCTTTTCACGCGGCACCACCAAACTGTGCTTATACAATTTATGCAAATATGACACACATAAATAAACACACTCATAAAACAACAAACGCTTGGCGAGATGCTTCATTTTATGGCAATACTGTGCTGTGATTCATAGTCGTTTATGATCGAGGCGTATGTACATTCACAAGAAAAGAAAAAAATAAATATTTGCATATAAAACAAAGAATATATATGAAGACAATAATACACTTTTATATGTCTGATAAAAATGCAGCAGGTATGCAACAAATAATAATAAGATAAATACAGTTAAATACAAGAATCCCTTCTTTTATGACACCTGAGAGCTACATTCTGACATTCGCAGTGAGAAGAGCACCTGTCAGCTGTGGTCTTCAGTAAGACACAACACGTCTTCTTCCCTGTGTCTTTTGTACTTGTTTGGCAGCAGATTAAAACTGCACTCAATTCCCTTTTGGCTGAATGTGCACATTTTTATATAAGGCACTGAAACAGCACCATATGGAGCAGCTTACATGCACAAATAAGGCTTCTTAATCAGATGTAGCTGCATGATGTACCACACAGAACAAACAGAACACAAGGACAGCTCACAATACTGCACATCAGTGGCTTCATAGATACAAAACCCAGACTTTTTACACAAAATAAGAAGTACCCTGATAGCTTCACACAGAACAACAAGTCAGGTTGATCTAAACAGGAGCAGATGAGTATGCACACTTTGGACAGACTCTTCAAAACAAAGATGGAATAAAAGAATGTGAGGTACAGGAGGTAATGGTTTGCAAGCAGCATCTGGACAGAAATCAGGGCCTGCAGGGCCTGTGAGCTCAGCAGTCTGAAGGGTGTCTCCAGGGATGGACCATCACATTATATGGATCTCCGGAATAACTGCTAGGATTTTATAGGCCTGAGGTGAAGTCTTTTTTCCCCCCTTTCTCTCTCTTATGAAATTCTTTCAAGTTGCTCCAGATAAGATAACCTGCTTGTTTTGTAAGATCTAAAAGCTAATGGCTCTCCCCAGCCACTGCACACTACTTGAGAGATATGCAGGAACACAGAGAATCTGATGTTTGGTCCATTTAACTCAACCATATAACCTATACCTTTACGAAACTTTCATCATCTCCAGGATAGCGGTAAAAATACATGGCACTAACACCTGACCTGTTGCTAGAGTATTGTACCTCACCCTGGTACTCATCATTTGATGAGGCTGTAACTCAATTAGAAAGATGCACTCTCCTCTTCCCTGCATACGTGCTTGATGACCTAAACCTACAATTAATAGATGAAGTAGTTGTTGATGATTTTGACAAAAATCAAACAACATCACACTGAGGCGGCGAAATTTGGACTTTGACAGGATGTAGAAAAAAGTTGAAGTAGGTGTACATAGAGTCTGATGTACTTACTGCAAGAGATCATCTCATCACACAAAAGGAGGAAAATGAACACCTCCGTTCAGTGGCCAACATAATGGCCATCTACACATGCGTCTATAAACTCTGAAGCTATAAAAAAAGGCAGATAGCTGGGAGACACCTTGCTGCATGAGAACCACAGGTCTGGTGAGCACCACAATAATATTACTGGATTAAATACAACTTTAATAATAGTTATTTTAAAAAAACTACCCACCAACAACAGCAACTACAACAAAAATGGCTGTAACAGAATTACTGTGGCGTAAGGACAGTATTAAAAAGTTAAATAGGCAAATGCCAAAATACAAAGCGCATTACTTTGGTAAAAATCTCACAAAAAGGCAACTGTGTGGTGTTATTGCCTGATGCACGTTGTGGTGCTTTGGAAAACAAAACACTTAAATTACATTACAGTTTAAAAAATAAATGGCACAGTACAATAAATAATAAATTTTATCCTTCTCTTTACAGTATTTACATCATTTTAAATTACGCTATAAACACACAGGAGGAAAAAGAGGTTGCTTGGAACAGTTTGAACTCAAAGTTGGCTGTAGCACCAAGGAGGGACATGTTCACACAATGAGCACCTGAACACAACACTGCAGATCAAAGAAAGAGAGATAGAAGACATGAGCCACGAAAGCCAATTACCCTGCAGAGTAGCAGTACATCAAAAAAAAATGCATTCGGTGAGCGCAAAAGCAGATTATAGTTCTGTTTTTTGATAGAAAATATTTCATATTTACATATTGTTATCCATGTTTACCTCACCTGTTTGATGGCGTTGTGTTCATTCCACTGTTATGGGCAGACTGTGACCAGAGGACGGTATACATTTACCACAATAGCCTCCACACATTCCTGACACTCTGCTGCCATCCTGTGGACACGAGAATAATAACATGGGTACTGTCACTATCTGCTGTTTCAAGAATTTGAGGATAGGTACAAAAGAAGCTGAGTGAATTCTTCTCTGTCGCCTTTAAAGTTTTGCTTTTTCTTGTTAATGATTTTAGGAATCTTTGTAGAAAAGATCCTGACGCGTAAAATTAAAAGCAACCCGAAAAGGGGTGGTTTGGTTTTTTGTTTTTTTTAAAGACACACAATGTCTGAGGCCCACCAAGCAGGTTTGTTTCTAAAGGTTGGCAAACAGCCTCTTAGAAACAAGCGAGAAATGTGAGCTAATAGAATTTCACTAGCGTAGGTAACAAGAGCAGGCAACTTAATAGTAGTTTCATGCAAACATCTAGAAGCAAATTGGAAACTGCATTAGAAGAGTGCTTCAAATTCACTATCCCATGACATGAAAGCCACAGCGCCTAGTACGCGCTTTGTCTGATTTTAACTGGAGTGCTGTCTTCATCCCGCTGTCCCAACAAGGCTTTATCTAAACTGCCTGGAGTGCCCAAAGGAGGGCCAGCTGGCTTTGGATGTCAGACTCTGAACACTTGTTGGCATCTCTACTTCCTCCTATTTTTGCCCTGCCAAAAAGCACTCTCCAGCCTGATCTCCATTTCAAAAAGTGGAGGGTGGTTGTAGGGGGCACTTGAGAGAGAGCAGCTGCCCAATAAAGGTCCTCTTTCAGCAAGGAGCTCTGAACACCGAACCTCCTTTGGAGCTATGTCTGCTTAATCTGCAGCCCAACAAACACAAAGCAAGTATATGAATTAATCCTCTGGGCATGTACGTGATGTTTTACCTGAGATTTTTTTATCGTCTTCACTACAAAGGTGCCCTGGGACATCCAAGAGGTGTCGTCAGCTAGCCTGAGCCCTGTTCCTGACAGGTTGATCTTAAAGCGGCCCTAAAAGGACAGATGGATGGAGAAAGGACAGAAATGAGATCTGGCATTAAATTATAGTGAAAGTTCCGACAGAAATGAAAGTAAATCTTGCTCTCTGCTTCAATACAGAGACCTTTAAGTGCCTGATGTGCAGTGAGCTACAGAAAAATAAAGAAGCACAACATCACAGAGTAGGAAAGGGGTTTATTACTATATACTATATACTTATATATATTTGACTGCAAATTAATTGTATTATTTACATAAAAGACAACTTATCATATAGATTAGATATTAGATAATAAGAAAAGCAGTCCTTGGTCAGCTGAGCAATTTATTTGACATTTCATTTATCTATTTTTTGCCACAGTTTGGCTTTTCTTGATATGAAAAGCAAAATAATTATAATAGATGTCGTCATCCTCACCTGCGGACAAGGAACGGCACTGTAGCAGTCTCCAGCTGTACCAAATGGAACACTCTTGCCTTGGTGGGTAAATGCAAACTGCCAGTCTGTAGCTATAGATCAAGATAAAGCAACAAAGTGATCTCTTAAAAACGTCTCTCTAGGTATTAGTCGCTATAGTAGCTCGAATGAACCTTAATAATCGTGACTTGCATCTGCCATGGTGAGCAAATCTTATGCTATTTACCTATAAATCCAGCCTGCGTTTCAGGCTGAGCCAAACTCATATCAGTATAATTCCATCCAGTTAGAGCAGTTTCATTTAATCCCCTCAAGCCTTGTAATTATGTGTTCCTTAAATGGACCTTAAAGACATCTTGAGCCCATTAACCCTCGTAAGCATGAACATAATTAAATGCCAAAGGAAGTTCTCATTTTGAAGTAATGTGGAGTTAACATTTTGCACAGGATGCTGTGAGACTGTGGGCAACTTACTGATGATGTTCATCTTGCTGAGGTCCAGGCGGACTTTGGAGAAGGTGGTGATGCCAGCGGCACTGTAGTCTCTTCGACAGTCGCAATCTTCTCTTCTAGAGCCATTGGCTGGACACTGGGTGGGGTCATTGAGCCTGGGAAAACACACGTTTGCCAGATACCTTAGCTTAACTTTACACTTCCATGGAATTTCTTCATTTACAGAGAACATAACACTGCCAGGAGTCAGGTGGAGTTTTTGTAATGAAAATGGCTGTTTTTATTGTTATCCTCCTGTTTACCTGAAGCCAAAGATCTCTGAAAAATTCTCCCCTTCACCCGTCGCCAAGGTGATGTACTCCCGCGGAGCCTCTGTCTGCATTCCAGCACAGAAGACCTGAGGAGGGAAAAAAAGCAGCAGAGGAGCAAGAGGGTAAGTAAAGGAGGGAGACCAGAGGTGGGGCGAAGGGTAAAGGAAAGGCATAGAGGTGATAGGAAGATACAGGAAGATTTGTCAAAGTACAAACAAGGTGCAGAGGGGAGGAAAGAAATAAAAATAACACTCGTAAGGAGTTGAAAAAAACGACAAGAAGAGAAATGTAAAAATGAACAATTAAAACCCCCTAAATCCTGCAAGAGCTTGTGGATATTTTGGCAGATGATAGTATGTAATGGTCAGACAAAAAGACAGATTTCCTGTGTTACATGAAAAGTGCTACATCTATTTGCAACCTCATATACAAAGCCACAGTGTCCAAAAAGTACCTAAAGATTTTAGTGAGAATTGATTTTAAGCAGCCGGCACAGTTAAGTGTGCACGTGAGGAGATCAAAGATGTGAGCAGTGTAGAGGAGCATTCTTTGATCCTCAAATCGAACCTTCTTAGCTTCCACTCAAGGAAAATAAGCAGAAAGCAGGTTTGATGCACTTTTGCTCTGGCTTCACTTTCCACACCTGGGAGCCAAGTTTATCTTTATATACAATCTGTGATAGAACTTTTTCCAGTAGGATCTCTCCTCAAGACATGCTGGAACACCATCATTTAAATAATATAAAGGTGTATATGTTTGGTATATAAAGATTTTTTAAGATCTTTGTCTTCTGTAAAACACAATGACCAAACCAAACTATTTGGGAGGCTCCTTTTTCATGACGCTGGGGCAGAGGACACAGTGCAGGCGACTGACAATATGAGTGGAGAGTTTGACTGTGAGTTGAGTGCGAGCGTTATCAGGATGACTAGACGAGATGCACCACAACCTGGCTTCAAACTGTTCTTGACGGAGTCAAAACTACACTGATAAACACAGCCAACAGAGAGAGATGCACTGACAAACACAACTGGGGGGATGTGGAGCGGACGGATATGCATATATGGGTGTGGTGGTGGGGGGTTTCTGCTCAGGTGCAGAAGTAGAGGTGGGGCAGAGAGGTTCAGGCAGCAGCGTCACGTAGGACTTATGAGCACAGGCAGCCACACACTTACAAATCATCTGGGCCTTCCTAAGCAGCACAAGGCTGGGACCTTGAGCTCTCTCACACACACGGCGAGCTAACTCAGGAGGGAAGACCTTCAGGATAATTTGCGTGGGCTCTGGGGCACTGCGCTGGTTAAGGAGCTCGCAGCCTTGTATATTTTACTGTGTGTGAGCACCTTCACTACGTAAAGCTTAATAATCAAAGAAAAGTCTTTTCTGTTTGGTGAAATGCTCACCGATTATGTGTCCTTCATTTTAACTAGCAAATATGTTTTAAATAGTTTGTCACTTCCTATTTTATATGTTAGCAAGCAAGAAATAAAGTCCTGAGTTGTGTCAGTATCATCATTTTATTTACTGATTCGCTGCACTTTAAGGGATTTGTTTGGTACATGCTATTCTAAAAGATTTGGAGAATCCACAAAAATCCCTGTACGGACAGGGTCTGAATTATTTACAGTTTGGATAGAGGAAACGGAATAATTAACATAAAAAACATAATATACAGGTAAGATAGAAATATTTCAAGAGCAACCTACTTTTCAGCTGTGTTTTCCCATTATTAATCAAACCAGTTGTGGCCTCACACTGTGCTTTGAGCAGTTGTGGTGTAATAATGTGATATTATCTTACCTTGAGTGTTTTGCCTTGTATGCTGAGAAAATGCTCACTGTCTGGCATGGGGCCATTCATGGTCTGGATCTCTTGACAGCTAGAAGGCAAACGGCCTTGGAGAAACACAAGAAGAAATGAATAAATATTCTGTGGGGATACGGACTCGCACGGTGCACAAATGTGCAAATGTTGGCAGTCACATCAAGTGGGGCAAATCTTTTTATCGGACCAAAGAAAATGAAACACCCCTCACGCTTTGATGTCCCACGGTACCGTGGGGAAGCAAACAGGCTAAACAGTAAATCTTTGATGTTTGCTTCGGCTCATAAATATTTCACTAAAGTCCAGATTTCTGAAATGACTAGGTCGTGTTGAGCCATTCCTTGGATTTTGTCTAATCCTAGTAGTCTTGACCTTTGTTAAAAGAAAGGAGTTTTATCTCAGCACTCACAGTTTGGATTCCTGCAGACCTTTTTGGCTCCTGGCATTACATCTGGGGAACACTCGTCGCTTTTCTGACCACCAGCTGATACACACTGCACCGTCCTCGCAGTCACTCCATCTCCGCAAGTCACTGAACACTGAAAGGAAGCAACTTATCATAACAGTCCGAAGGTAATTCTTGCAGGTGAAAGTCTGTCAGAAATTCTGTCTTCAAAGTGTCACTTTTTTAAAAAAATGGACATGATTCATTCGACCAGTGTTTAAGCTCAATGCTGAAACACTAGTTGAAGACAAGATTTTTCACATACAATCAGCCAACTGCTACTGTTTTAATGTCAAAGAAAGCCATGAATTGTCACTAAAAAAAAGAGTAAATATATTTTGGATTAATTTTATAAAAAAAAAAATCTCTCTCTCTCTCTCCATATATATATATATATAATTATAATTTAATGTCAATAGTCATGCCTGGCGAGGTGAAAAACAGTCCATTTTATCATGCATTTAGGATTGACATCAATCTGCCTTTGATAAACTGATAAATCACTATATCCCATTTAGCAGTCCCATTAGGCAGTCCAGACTCACTCACCGGTCCCCAGATTCCAACCCTCCATTCTTGCAGCAGAGGGCACGGGCCCAGATTACAAGGCATGTAGCTCTCAGGAGGGGTCCCAGGGCAGTTGGACAAAGACTGATGGCCATACTCATAGTTGTCATTCTCCACATGCACCTCACTGCATGAGATCAGACGCTGGCGGTAGCCCTGGCCACAGCTGGCTGAGCACTGGAGGGTAGCATAAATCACCAGCATGAAAAAAAGAGAACAGTGTACTCTCCATCATGTGCGCGTCATTGGACTGAAAGGTGGTGATTTGCATGCTCGTTCTGAAGAGCAAAGCATTACCAATTTAACTCAAACACAACTTTTACAATTAAGATCTGAAGACAAAAAAAAATGACCGACACTACATGGTCTAGATGTCTGCTTGTTTGACTCTCACCTCAGTCCATTCCCCTGTAATCCAGATGAATTCGCAAGCGTGGGTGTTGCAGCTTTCTATTTCTGGGGGTCTGATCTGGTTCACGCAGTACATCTCGTGGACCTCCCGCTGGTTGTGGTCCACGCATTTCAAGGCTCGTTGTCGGCGACCCGATCCGCACGACTTACTACACTGTAGAGGAGACAAGACAGGAAACAATCTTTCACAGAGGGTACAAATAGAAAAAGAGCGGTATTATTGGAAACTCTGTGGCACTGCCAAATTAAAGTTGCAATATACAATGCACACACAGCAAGGAAGCTCCAGTTCAAGCAAAGCATGCATTCAGTCATTAAGCACTGCTTTGGGCTATACAGATGTTAAGAGGAGGGGAAAACACAGTGCTCACATCCCGTGCCAACAACATGTCTGATCATAGATGAAGTTTCAACACCTAGACCCTTGGCCCAAAAAAGAGCTTTTTTCTTACAGTCAGACAACAATCATCTTCTTATTTTGAAAGTAAAACTTGAAGCATGGCACCCATTCATCCCATTCTTTTATAACAGCTCATTAGATCAGACCTAATATAAATGATGTATATTTTCTAAACAGAGCTGCTTTAGCGCAGATCAGCAGCACAGCTTAATATATCTCTGAGGAGATTTGTGGTATACAAGGCTGGAAAGAGAGACAGATATCTATGATCAGGGTGTAACAATCTAATAGTAAGTGCAGAATTGTGTGATCAGCCCCTGACCTATACTAGATACATTTCCATTTCAAAGATTGGAAAAGCAAAATGGGCACAATAAAAACCAGTTAGCACCATTTCGTGCCATTGCACAAGTCACCGTGGCCAGTATTAAAAGCATAAGAGCAGCAGAATGAGGTGACTGGGATTAATTTGTTGGTTTTTTAATCATGGAACTACTGTAATAATGCCTTGTAAAGGGGCTTATGTGCTGGTTCAGATGTTACAACACTCAAGTTCGCTAGAGTCATAAAGATTTATCAAAGGTCCAGAAAGGCTTCCACATGTGTGAGAAACACTCAGCAGTCAACCAGCAGGTCTTTTTCACTCTTAATATCTTTAACTTTGTCAAACAACTGAATTACCTTAATCTATCAAAGTGAGTTGTGCTGTGCTGAGAGGTACTCAGGTTTTAGGTAGCCAAAGATACTATATTTCATTCTGAGATGTACCGAGACAGGATACTGTGTCCTGTCCTTGTACAAGGCAGGGAAAGAAATACTGCCTGTGTGAGATGTAACTATCTTATGTGTGGGTACAGTGTGTCTAAAACACGGTAATACTTCCTAGTTGAAATGTTTTAACTGTCTCCAGCTGTTAAATGGGACACCCAGGCAGGGACCTCCGAGCACTTCTGCAGAGTGATTGGACTCTTCTTTCAGAAAGGCATTTTATGTTGTTTAGTGACGCACATTCACCATCACATTAGCAAAGTGAAGAAGGAGCTCCTGGTGCATTTCCCGTTCTAATAAACAGCAAACATGTGCAGACTCTATCCTGCAGAAAATAGCTGATCATTACTTTGCACCAATGGTTAATATTAAAGGGACAGCTCACCACAAAATCATTTACTTATTTTTTTCTCTGTTGCTCTTCATCTATCCAAACTGACCGAAGCAGAGAAGAAAGAAAATAGTTCCTAAATAAAAGCTCACATCAAAAGTTGACTTTTTTCTTTTTATTTATTTATTTACTGTTTTATGATTTCTGAAGACAGGGGTTTTTTGTCACTTTGAGCAGCACATGGTAAGTCACATTCGATCTCATATATCCAAAAGAAAGGTAACATTTCCACCCTGGAGATCTCCAACTCCATCTCTTAGCAGTAAAGAGTACATTTCCCTCCTGGCACTAATAATGGGGCAAGTAACAGGCAGATCTGTGTAAATGAAAATCATTACAACTCACTGAATTCTCAACCAATTTTCGAACGCTTTTGTTTGAGTATAGATTAGAATAACCATCTGACTGGTTATTGGATCCTCAGTGCCAATTAACAGTTTTGCCAAACTGAATACTTTTTGCGTCGTCTTTGAGTTTAAGTAAATAGACTAATTCGCTAATGAGAGGAACTTGAGTTATTTTGGGGTAGGGGAAAAAAGGGGATTGCCTGATTTTCATCTGCCTCTTCTGCTCCCCTCCCCTTTGGCCTCCTGACAGGCAGCTGTGCCTCCTACAGAAGCAGAGACTCTCATCCTTGCCCAGATTTGAGCCCAGAGCAAATTCATCCGCGGCACTAGAACTACTTGTTTAAGCAGATTACAGTGTTTGTTTGTGCAGACTTCTACTGGCTTACCGGTTGCCAGTCCTCCTCTCTCCACCGGTAGCGAGAGGGACAGTCGGTGACCCGGCAGCTCTGGCTGGACGCTGGTCGGGAGCGCTGGGGACAGCCGGTCTCCTGCGAGCTCTGTTGGTCTTCAAACTGGCAGAACACCTCCCGCTGCTGGATGCCATCGCCGCAGGACGCTGAACACTAAAGACAGGGCAGGTAAGAGCTTTGCAATGAAATCATTCAATCTGTGTTAGTAGTTATCCATTGTAATATATTTTTATATAGAAGACTCATAACTGATTTAGTCTAAAGTATTTATTTATGGGAATGCTTTTGCCAAAATGGCTATTTTATTCATTTGTAATGTCAGGTAGATGCTTTTATAACAATAATAATAAAAGACTATGCAAATTACATTTTAATGATAAAAGCAACCAAGCGTCTGTGTAAACATTTAGGCTGTATCAGATCAATGCCAGTTCTACAGATATGTAAAGAATCAAAGTTGAAGTCTGGAAAGTGGTTTGGCACATCTGTGTTTAATCTAGAGCAGCATGTTTGAAATGAAAGCGTCTTTTCTGCTGACATACAGAGCACATCGTGTAGAGGGTCAAATGAATGAGACTGGGAGGTGGGGGGATGCCTGTCGTTTTCTGCCCTTAACCTTAACTGAAACATAAAACAACTGTCTTATTTTGACTGTTTGAGATATATTTGTAAGACGATATCTTACACTAACCAATTTTTGTGTCCTTTCAGACAGACCGCACTTCACTGATATCAATATAATGCTCCTGGATCACATAACCCCTATGTAATAACAGATGATTTCGAGACAAATAAAGGGATGGAGGTGTAAGGCGGTTTGTGTGTTCTGGAGCTCAACCTATAAAAATGCATTTACTACAGCCATATTTATGTGTCCATTTATTTGTAACTCAGTGAAGCAGCTGAACTTTGAGGCACTCCAGTGTGCTGTGCTTGACTAAGAGCCTCGAGTGGAGTATCATTTTCTCCTTGCGTCATGCTCCACAGCTGTTTAGAGGGGGACGCACATCCTCTCTGACATGTAAGATGTTTCTGTGTGCTCAGTCCACTCTGTCCTATTGAGAGAAAAGGTGTTGAAAGGCAACGACCAGGTGCACTTTGTTGAGTTTGTTTGGCGTGATGATGCGAGTGTATTGCCTCGAGTAGCACATTCAAAAGACCAACATGTGGTTCCCATTGGTGAGGCAAAAAATAAAATTTAAAAAAAGAGAAAGAAGGGAAAGAGGGCATGGAAGAAAAAGTGGGAGAGGGGATGAATGGAGACAGAGATGAGAGGAAGTTGAGGACCACAGAAAAAGAAGCTATAGAGATGAAAGGGGTAGAATTACACTGGCTCTAATTCAAATACAAAGGAAGGGGTGCACATCCATCCTGCCGCCCAACTTGGTGGACGGCGGTACAGTAGCACCAGTGTACACCACCTCAGACTCTGGCTCCACCCTGGCAAACCGCCATGTGATGTTTAAAAGCAATCACGCCTCAGTTAGTGGCTTAGCATGGTCCATGAAGGCAGTCAGGTTCAGCTGTGGCCTGTTTCACACATATGGATATACTTGCCTGTAAGCTGTAAAGTATTAAAGTGGGGCTACGAGAGAGAAACAAAGCCAACATGTCTGGCACCGTGAGAACAAATAGCTGAGAAGTGTTTAATGGCTGGGTCAGAGAGTCCTACCTCCCCCCAGTTGCCAGTTTTCCACTTAGGACATCGTCCACCTCTGCAGCGGCGCCGCTCGCTGGGTTTGGACGACACGTGCTGGCAGTACTCCTCTGGGACAGGGCGTCCTGACCGGGTCACACAGCTCACTTTGCGGGATTTGAAGCCTCTTCCACAGGAGGCTGAGCACTGCAAGATGGAAATAAGGAGGCCAATAAGAAGCATGTGAAATATGTTTTAACCTAAAGCAGAAAGCGTAAAAAGTGACACATTTCAAAGCAATGAAACTCAGATTAAAAATTTCCTTTTTATTGTTTTTATTGAGGGGGTATTTTGTTGATATCAAGTTTAACTGTAATTGATTATTCAGCATTAAAAATGGGATGTAATAAACAAGAAATGAAGAAAAAAATCTCATTAGTATTTGTGAACTCGTGGGCCCTATTTGTCACTCACAAAAAAAGGATGTGAGACCCGATTACATGGGGAGAGGTGGTCCAATGGTAAAGCGTGCCTGATCATCCCGGCAGCAGTTTGTTTCACCTCCGGGTTCACCGCGTTACTGAAAAGCTAACTCAGTGTGACAGGCAGACTCACACACACACAGCAGCACTAAGGGAGGAGTGAGTTGGGCTGGACTGTGCTTGGATAATCAAAGGGGGCGTTGCATGTGGGGATGGATGGGAAGCGACAGGCTCAGAGTTGAACGAGTACGTGGCCCAGCATGTGGCTCTGTCCTGATCAGCAAGGGACTGTACCGGACAGGAACAAGCTGTGACCCCTCGCCTCATTCAAGGAGGTGAAAAGGTAGGAAGCCTTGTAAAAGGAGGGACGACTAAAGTGCTTGTTCCCCGTTATAAACGCAGGCATGCCAGTGCGTTTTGTAATGTACTTAATTTATTGTAATTGTCTTGCAGGTAAATTGTTTATCCAATCAATAAAGACAAACGTGAGTCATATCGACACAGTGTGGTTATTTTAAGGAGACTTTGTTCAAATTTTGTAACATTTCACATCATAAAATTACACTCTCCTGCTACGCTTGTGTGTCTTTACTGGAATAGTACATGCTTATCGCATGTACTATTCATATATTACTATTATAGCATATATTACTATTTTTCATATATTGGTGTAAAATAACTGACGGTGCTGATGTATAAACATAGCTGAGAAGACGATTTCCACCCATGAAATTTAGTGGCAGATCTTTGGTCTACACTGTGGAATGGCATCTATCTGCCCTCCACCAATGTCACTTTATTTTGTTTGGCTTTTGTCTTTTATTTCATTTTTCTAAATCTAGATCACGAGTAATTTCCCACAAGTCTGTCTGTGCTGAAGGGATGAATCAGGATGGGGCCCCTCACTAGATCAAATGTGACCTTTGACCTGCCAATGCACCACTGAATAGTCTTGCTGACGCCACCTTTTATTCAAGTCACTGTCAAAGGCCCCCACAATGGTCCACTGTCATTAACCCGCATTAGACCAGAGCAGAGGGGCCTGCCAGAAAGGGGGCAAAGGGCGCTAGCAACTCCATAGCCGAGCTTCCCAGAAAAAGCCTCAGCGTGCATTAAGAGTGAATGAGCACAGTAAATGCAATGGGAAGTACGCCGAGGCATTGTCCCGCAGGACTGAGATTTACCTTAATGGAAACAGCTTTGAACTCTTGACACATGGTGAGAACATACTCGCTGACAGAGGTCAACAGAAGCCCTGAGCGTATAAAACAACAAGGGTAACGCTCGGGAAAAGAGAACTTCTTTATAACCTATTTGCAAGCGTTCTTTTCTCATCTTTTAACCTAAAGCACTAAACAATAAAAGCCACTTCCTTTGCGTGAACACACTGCAATTATCAAAAAGCTTGGGCTGGTGAAATCCTAATATGGGGGTTAGCAGCAGGAGTACAGTGTTGCAAGCACTGATGCTATTAGCATTAATGAATGTTGCTAAAGGCTGGCACAGGGATCGGTTACTGCAATTTCAGCATTTCATTTATTTTTAAAAGCCAGTCAGTGCAAATCACCAGCAAGTTTTAAGTCGTGTCTTTCCCTCAATTTAAAGCGACCTCGGTGTGGTCGCTGTATGTGATGTAAACCTTTTTATTCAGCCAAGAATGAAAAAAAGCCTTCGATAGTACCTCTACTTCACTTTAATTGTAACCTTTTCTGCAAATGAACAGAAATCCAACAAATCTGTAAAAAAAAAAATTTAAATATTGACATAACATTATAATGAATGAACAATAAATACAAGTAATTACATAAATATACAGAAATATTCTTGAAACATAGACTAATACTGCCATTTGTGAATAAGAGACATACATTATACTTATTTCAAGAGCCTGTTGATATAGTGTTTGTGTTATACTGCTATTCTGCGACAAGAGGTTGACTGCTTAGACTGACAAATGAAACTGGAGGGGATTATGATATAATTCACTATTGTGTTCCACTTTCACTGATTCAACCTAGATTTGGTTTTGTGCTGCCTTACAATCACACGTGGGAGTCATTACAAGTAAAAGTTCTCATTAGTAAATGACGTGTGGTAAAGGTGTACTCACTGCTGTGTTAACAGGCCCTTAAAATAAGGTGTGATGTTGGTACAGACATTTATGACCAAGAGAAGTAAACTGGGTGGGCTTCAGGCAAAGTTGACCCTAACCACAGATTCTGGATCAGTTTGAACCGTCCTCACAGTAATGTTAAGCGTTACGGGGCAGGAGATGACACGCGCTACAGATCTGTGTTTAGGGCCAGCATCTGCGCAGGGTAGCATCGACAACTCATGCTTAATCTTAGCCAGCCAAAATCCCTCCAGTGCAAGGGAGAGCAAGATACGGCAGGGGGGGCAATCATAACAGAGACTGAGGTAGACACATTAGGTTGGCTCACAGTAAGAGCTCTGAATACAAAACACCATTAACTTCCCCTGTGGTCACAGGTATTACATGTTTCAAAGCATGACATTTAACAGCCCGTTCTCTTAAAGGTGAGACAGTCAAAGACAATTCAAACATTATTTCATCAGATCTGTGATACACTTTGCATTTAGCTGATCAATCAGATCAGTGCAAACTGCTCATGGAAAAAAAAAAAAAGTACAGAAGAGGCAACGTGCCACAATAAACACCTAACCAACCAAAAAAATTTAAAGGTTCTCTTTTTGAAAAAATATTTATATCTCATATCTCCCTTGTTTGGAAAAAGCACCACTGTTATGCAGGTCATCATTGTTTAATGGCTAGTTGAGTTGTGTTTTGTTCCAAGTGAGGTATTGTTGAGCATAGCATATATAGCAACTCCAAGTACTTACTGTACAAAGCAAACATTAACTAACATAACATAAATACACTCATATTAAGCACCTTTGAAGGATTTAAAACTACTGTTTTGGCCACACTAAGGAATTCTGGGTGCAAACCCAAAACTGGAATACAATGGCTATCCGGCCTAACTACCAAAAACTCGTCGGAAAGAGACACTTTATTTTACAGTGGCAGTACAGCCACTGTTCGCTGGTGTTTACTACTGATACTGGACGTTTCAGGCACTTTTGACTTGACGTATGTCTCCTTCACTGTCATTGTCATTACGGGACAACAGCGTTGTTGCTTTCAGGGGGGTAGATACATGAACTGTAAAATAAAGTGTCTAAATAAGATTAGTAACTTCTCTACATGTGCCTTAAAACAAATTGAATTCCTAATATAATAGCCATTTCATAGATGCATATAGTACAAAGATGTATATATAGTATACAGCCCATATACAGTCAATATGTAAGGTGATGCCTTTTACGTTCATAACAGAACATCGACTATATCATGTAGCACCTCATACGTGGAGATCGTGGGCCATTCTTTGGATAATAAAAGAACAAGGCAGCATATTGTATATTCCTGATATACAAAAACATTCATCAGTATTTGCATATGAACAATGATTGGCTAAATGTGCGAATACAAAGAGCTAAGACACCAAATAAGACACTTTTTAAAAGTTAATACTATTTACAAGAGATAAAAAGGAAAACATCTCTCAATAAATTATCTTTTAAAAACAATATTTTACAAAACTAACTTTGATTGTGATACAACGTAATCCTGAATTATTAAAATAAAAAGAAGAGAAAACTAGTACGAGGCTCAACAACAGTTTTCTAACTACTCATGAAAAAAATTCTTACGGTCACAGCTGTCACTGAAGTATTATTTTTTTGTGTGTGTGTCGTACTTTTTTGGCATATTAAGCACATGTTTGCCATTCAAGTGCAACAGAAATGAATCTTTCCAAATGTCTTGAGGAAAAACTGACTGACCAGTTGCCGGCAGCAGAGAGGGAGCAGTAAGTGGAGGGGGTTAAAGGTAAAAAGCTGGAGTGTGACATCTCCAGGGTAAAAGCACCACAGTCAACCTGCCTCTTTAAAACTGTTTGTGAAAGAGTAAGACTACATGCATTTGAACATATGTGAGGTTAAAAAAACCAACAATAAAAAACGGTTATAGAGTATTTGTTTTTTTTTTGTTTTTTTTTTATGAGCGTACCGAGGTCCATGGGTCTGTGCTCCAGTGGGGGTTAGACGGGCATGGCTGAGTATTGCACTGCTCACGATCTGGGGGCTTGTCATGGATCTCGCAGCTCAGATCATTGAAACGCTCGCCGTTTGGACGCTGACACACCACCAGCCTTGTCTTTATCCCACCTCCGCATGGCTTCGTGCACTGAGGACGGCACACAGAGAGGTCGCATTTTATAGATGCAAGTTTGTGGATTAAAAAAAAGGAGCTGACCGCCATGTTTTCATGTCAAAATATGCCTGTCTTATGTGAGACTACTTTAGTGTGTCCTTCTTACCTCTCCCCAGCTGCCATACACCCACTGTGGACATGGCCCCGATTCGCAGGATCTTTGCTCGCTGGGTCGGCTGCGATCTTCACAGCTGTTGGCAGGGTAGCCGTTCTCATCCTGGCACACTACCACACGCCGCTGGAAGCCTCCTGCACATGTGCTGGAGCACTGTTTTTGTGTTTTTTTTAACAGAGATAAGAGGGCACAAAAATAGTTCCTCGTTATTCAGGTGTAAAAGAGTTTAGTGGATATTTTATGCTTCGTTTAAACGCAGCGATTAGCAAACATATTCTCAGCCTCGCGGTATTAAATCAGTGCACATACAGTATGTGTAATAGGAGGTGTATATGATGTGAACACAAAGCCCACACAAAATTCTGACAACGCGGAGACGTCACATGCGACATGGCTAAACTTCTCTGCTTCTAAAATAACGTTCTGAGGAAGGAAGCGTGACCAGAAATATCTTAAATCCTTCCCAGAGTTATTTAAAGGTCACGGCTATTTTTTGTCAAAGATTATCAGTAACCCAGTTAAAACAACAAAGAAAAAAAACCCTGCAGGAACAATACAGAGAAGGAGCTCAGTGGGACAGGATAGCCTGGGGCATTTAGGTCACAATGTCCTTCAGTGCTATTTCTAAAGATCTCATCCTAAAAAGAGTGAAGGGCCTAAAGAACAGAGTCCAACTTTTGAGCTTTTATTCAGGACCGTGTGACATTACACAATGATTCTTAAACCCTACCCTGCAGCTCCAAAGCACAGATAATATATAGGTATGACTTTGATTTAGGGCGCCTTAAAGGAATAGTCCAAATTATCCTCATTCTGCCCTTGCTGTAAGAAGAGCATAGATCTATATAGGAAGTTTTTATGGTTGATATTTAAGTAGAATTTGAAGATTGTTAGCTTAGATTAGCACAAAAGTAACAAAGTCTGCCAACCTTTTACTTATTGAAGTGATCGGTCCCAAAAGATTAATGCAACATCTTAAATATCACACCCCTGAGGTTTGTTGACCAGCGTGATGTTGTGTTTAGGAAGCCTCACCGCGCCCCAGGGTCCAGTCCGCCATTGGTGGGATTGGCTACGTGGCAGGTTCCTGGTGCTGGTGTTTGGTGAGGACGGAGGTCGGGAATCACTGGAGCGGGACGGGCACTGAGACATGGCACAGTCCTGCTCTGTGGCAGGACGGTCGTCTGGGTCACACTCACTAGCGTTCACTTCTTGGTCACTGAAGTTGACGCACAGCACTTGTCGCGTCGTCTTTCCCTGGCCACAGGTGACTGAGCACTGACAGCACAAACAAATGGAGAGGGTGAAGAAATGAAAAGGAAAGGTAAATGCAAATATACACAAATCCAACTGCCATAAAAGGAAAGCTGACTTTCTTTGATAGCAGATTCTTGACATTTCTGTTCATTGTGACCTGCTGGTGGTCGAACCAGACTTGATGAACAGAACCATGTCAGATACAAAAAGATGTCATCTTCATGCTACCAAAGAGCTAACTCAGACTTAACCTGGTGTTAAGGTTACAGCAAAACTAAAATTTCTCTTCAACAGACTCTTACAGTATCACTCTAAATGACCCAAGTAGACATTTTTTAGATAAATAACACAAGGCAGATATTCCACCAAATGCTAATGGTGTCTCCAATCTTGCTCCTCCCTAGCAGAGTCCACTCAGTGTCTCGCGTGATCCATTTTACTTATCCAACAGCAGTTCATAAAAAACATGACCTATCCAGAGGTTTACATGACTCTGTCACAATGTTTCATGTTATTACAGATACTGTAACATGGTTCTGCATGCATTAAGTTGATGTATATACTGTGACGCTACATCGAGCTGTACTGTACTGCAAGCTGCACTGGCCCGGAGAGCAGTCACAAAAATCTCTCAATTTGGATTTTTCTGTAACAGCGAGCTAGATAAAAATGATTTACTTTGGGTTTATAAATCTGCCGTTGTCAGTCTTCTGTTCGTGTGTGTGCGTGTAAACATGGGATAGGCCTCTGAAATTTTTAGTGGCCTTGGGATGATTTAGGATATTTCTTTTCAGGGGGTCAATGAGTGTCTTTGGCTTGGTAGTACATGTGTGGGTGTGCATGGTTGTGTGCTTGTGTGTGTTGTGTATGTGTATGGTGACCAGACCTGCAGTCTGCCTAAACTGTATCGCTAAGGCTCTGATGAGAAACATCTGTAAACAAGACTGGAGCCCCTCACTACAGCCCCTCGCATCTCCCAGCTCAAGAACTTCATTCCTGATTCCTCTCTCTCTCTCTCACACACACACACAAACACACACACTCCTCCTATAACTGCACTGCAGCCCTCCTCCAGTCCAACATCCACGCATTCCAGCTGCCACCCTGTCTCCACATCCTGGCTGGCTAACACATTAACATCTGCATAGCGTGTGCAGACACTGGTTGTCAGGGTTAAAATGAGTCTACAGTGAACAATGGAGCAAACATGGAGGGGGAAGAAACACATCTGGATGGCAAATATTGATGACACAATGTAGGTTAATCTGTCACTATAAGGAAATAATTATTATTGTCAGCAGAAAAGCTCTTCTGCAAGTTCTTAATTATTTGAGTCAGTCAATCATATACACATGTTGGTCTTCTTACCACTGTCCATTCCAGCACTTTCCACTGTCCACATGCCACAACTGTGCACACTTCCCTTGAAGGAGGCTTTGGTAGGTGGGCGCATGCCGACTCGTCGGCCACGCCGCCCTGGTCGTCACGGCAACTCACATAGCGCATCCGTGTCCCTTTGCCACAGCTGGCGCTACACTGTTTTACAGAAGACAAAGATTAAGAAACCGGAAACCAACCAAATGAGAAAAACAGATAAAAAGTAAAATAAACAAAAAATGTGACAGCACTGCCAACCTGGGTCCAGGAACCAAATCGCCACTGGGTTTTGTGGCCCGGGTGGGAAGGGACTTTGGTCCCTGGGGGAACAGGGTGGCTGCTGGGACACTGGGCTATTTCACAGTCCTGTGGAAGAAGAGACACATACACCCATTCATGCAGTGATTAGCAAAATGAATATACTGTAACAACATCTGTCCCTGACAACAAAATACCATGAATATCAGAGATAGCTTTTCTGACATGGGACAGTCGTGAGCAACTTAAACTATATTCCTTCGGCTCTACGTTTGAGAGTAGTTATGCTTCCCATCGACCCTTTCCCCTCAACTTAACAAAACAACATTAACAGGGTCCGCCCCGTCAGTTCAAACTATGGATTGTGGCAGTAAGCCACTCAGCATAAAGCCCTGATCCCTGTCATAACAGGTCATAGTGGAGTGGTATTCAGGGCTCCAATGCCTATGCTGGCGTGGTTGTAAACTCCACCCCTAATCCACCCCCTTGTCCTGCACCTTCCGCCTTTCCCTCTTTCCCCTCCATATGCCCTCTGGTGCCCTCTGACCCCATGTCTTTAGGAATGAGTGCTGGATCGGGTCGCACAGACTTGGGCTACACATTCAGCATGCAGCCTCCAAAAAGAAACAAAGTAACAGGAAGCTCGCCACATGCTTCCTGTCGTACTTGCATTTGCATGCATCAATAGAATATTAACAAATATATACTACAAGAAATCCAAGACATGAACAACCTTGTACTAAAACCTCCCTCCATCTATCAGTCTCTCATCCTATGCCCTGGAGCAGGGTGGTGGTGGGACTAGTGGCCTGGTGGCCCACTTCATGGCTGGCTGGTTAGAATCACAACGAGGTGGGGCGACTGCTTCAGGGTCACTGGTCACCAGTCTCTGCTGGTCCAAGCGCCGGAATTGCGAGCTGCTGTGACTAGAGGGGGGCCTCATCCTGAGTCTGCATGCTAAGCGCTCTGAAATGGGTTTACGCCCTACGCTGACCAAACAAACCTCTCATTCAGTTCAAAATATTGCAAGTTTCTGTCGGGGTTTCTGTGCAAGTTGTGTGCAAAGTTCACCATATACACACACACAAACAATTGGCAAGAAAATTAACCTGGGTGAGCGTCATTTCCCAACGTCGTATGATGTAGACTGACATAACCCTTTGTCAGTCTACATCATGGGTAAGTGGAGGAGAAGCACGGCTTTGAACTAGCCTACTTTAAAAACTGGTAATTATTTATTTGAAGCATGTCCTCTGTGATTTCTGATTTATTTATGGCTGCCACAAATACAGGATGTTTTGACACAAAACATGCGTTAAAATCAAACTGGGGGTAAATAACTGTGCACTCGTGGTGCTGAAATCATTGGAAAGTTAAGTGGTAATGAGACAGAGAAATTGCAAGCTAGTGCTTCTTCAGGTCCAAAAAAATGCTTGTAAGTTGGAAAAAATTAGTTAATACATCCTTCAGTCCAACCACTTTCTAAAACATTCATCCATCCATGGAGGGAACTAACTGGAGCCTATCCCAGCTGCATATTGTAGGAGGCAGCAGGGATAGGCTCTTATGATATGTTTGTAAAATAGAAGGTCAGGGTTAATATAGAAAGACAGACAACCAGTCACCCTCACATTTACATCTAAGGTCAGTTTAGATCATCTCTGTATCATGCATGTCTATGGACTGAGTTAGAAAGCCAAAGTACCTGGAGAAAACACACAGAAAGGACCCAGTTGGCTGGTGGACTCCAACCCCAAATCATCTTACTGCATTTTTTAAAAGGAGCTTATATTAGTTGATCGTTTCCATAATAAGCAAATTCCCATTGTATGCTGAGGTAAGAGCAGGGTAGGTAAACTTTGCTGTTTTAAGCTGCAGGTTTGGTCAAACTCTGCTGTTTTAAGCTGCAGGTTTGGTCAAACTCTGCAGTGGGCTGATGTTCCAGTCTATGCTTCTATAAGCATAAAGAACTGTTTGTATTTAACCCAGTCTGATTATGTCTGGGAAAGTCAGTTTAGAAATTCAACAAATCTTTTAAAGATTGTGCACTGGGGGTTTGTAAAAATTACAGAGGAAAACTGGAATTTAGTGCAGTCTCGCAAGTGTTTGTGCATGTCACCTCCTTCTCATGTGCCCCAGGCTTAACGCAATCATTGCTTCTGCCACACATTTCAAGTGTCAGCTAGATGACACAAGTGAAATTGTTTTCAAGAGAAACATATGAGGGATTCTGTCTCAGAGTTTTGTCTTTATGGTGGGATAGTGAGCCTGGTAAACTTCCCTCAGCATTTGGAGCAGGCGGGACAGCTTTTATTGAGACCAGGTGGAAATGAAATGCCAGGTTTTTTGTGTACATTTTCAGTACAAGCGTGCATCTTCTTCCTTCACACTCAACCACGGAGCAAAAAAAAGCTCTCAGAGTGAGGAGATGATAAGCAGATTGTAGGGGAAAAAGAAAGGACGATAAGACCTCTTACCTGGGTGTCAGTGGGTCGCGTGGCTGCGTTACATTCGGTGTCGTCCATGACGGCACCATAAGAGCCCACCACGCACTTCACTGCTCGCATCTGGTAGCCTGGCCCACAAGAGGTAGTGCACTGGGTTCAAAGAAAGAAAAAAGAAACAAAGGAGGCGTGATGGGAAAACATTTGCAACAGTCAGCCAAAAAGAAAACTGAGAAAAAGACAAGAAAGGCAAGCAAAAAACAGATGTTTTGTTGGAGCCACCAGAGCAAACCCCTGCACACATGAGTATATAGAGCATATAGAAAAAATGTTAGCTCACTTTAGAAAAAAGTCTTCTAACAAAAATCATACATGAGGATATTCATATACATTGGACTGGCCGCTTTCCCACTGCAGCTCAGTCAGAGGGTACTATCCCGCGCTTTCTTCTGGCTCACTGCCTTCAGTGAAACGGGGTCAAACTTGTGTGGCGGCAACTTCAGCTACCATTTGATCATGCTTCATTAAACCACTTCAAATATACCTTAAAATGTGCACATCCTCTGACGAGGGGCACAAAATAGCTCGCATTTTTGGGTGTTCTGTTCTGCACACGTACACAAATGAGAATGGGTGCGCACACAGATATATAACGCGCTTTCTGGGAACACGGCTATGAAGACTGTCCATTGCTTTTGTATCTTCATTTTCATGACATGTCCTGTGATTCTAAACAGCAGAGAGTTCAGTGCTAAATAACGAGCGTAGCTTGTCTGTGTATCCACCCGATGATTTACATTAGAGACCAATTCATCAGAGAAGTAATAGCAAATTTCTCTTGCTGAGCTGTGACCCATCAACTGGGTAGACTTCCATATTGCATGTATGCAAGTATGAAAGCAGTGGTTCTAAATCTATATATACAGCATACTCTTTTAAACGCCTTGGAAAAAAGATCTGCTGTAGAACTATTAAATTATTCAACCAAACTGATTGATTAAAGATAGATTATTTCTTCTTTAAATAAAAAGATTTACTCATGTCAGTATGCAAATAATAATTTACATGGAACCCTTGAGATAGATAGAACCAACCACAGTCAGTCACCATGTCTGCCGTCCCTCACCACCAACCAGTTGTGGCAGATGGCCGCCCCTCACTGAGCCTGGTCCTGCCGGAGGGGCTTTTTTTCCTGTTAAAAGGGAGTTTTTCCTTCCCAGTGTCGCCAAGTGCTTGCTCATAGGGAGTCGTCTGATTGTTGGGGTTACTTTCTATTATTTTTAGTCTTTACCTTACAATGTTAGGCCATTCAGGTGACTGGTGTGGTTTGGCACTATATAAACAAAATTGTATTGAACTGAAAATAAAACTGTCTCCCACACACACAGATGTGGATAAAGAGCATGCCAAACTTGCATCTAGCAATTTTAACAGCTGTAAGTGAACAAGGAGAGACAGGAAGGACAGCATAGGTTGAGAAACAGATGAAGAAGCGTGGATCGAGAAAGGAAAAAGCCCCGCCAATCATGCGGGTAAACGTTTGAAAAGTAACCTATATCCACATCCACATCATCATACACTGACGCTCTCAGCTGATAAATGACCCGATTTCTTACAGCTTTGAACAAAAACAATCGAGCACTGTGTACTGAATGCTGCACAGATCATAAATACAGGGGTGACTCACCTGTCCCCAAGGTCCAACCTGCCAAGCGGCACACTCCTGCTGTTGGCACGTCTGCACTGACTCTGGTTTAGACGACCCACAAAAGCGATCATCTAGACGGTCCTCACCAAACTGACACCACGTCTGACGATGCTTGTAGCCTTTACCACATGTCACAAGGCACTAAAAAAAAAAAAAAAGTTACAGGTTATAACGCCATGAACTGCGTACATAGTTAATCGCTACATGAGTACAAGAAATGAGCAGTTACAAGTATTCAGATTCATGACAGAGGAAGATCTCTTGGTTTTATGTAAAGCAGTATATGCACATTAGAAAGCCCCTAGCCCCAAAAACAAAAAAAGCGTGAGTGTGTTTATTTATGTGCGAGTACAGTCCATATGTATATATTACAGCATACGGGTTCTGGCAACACCACACGGGAGATCTGAAAAATTCCCGGAATGCAGCCCACAGCTTTGCAAGCTCCTTGCTCTACGATGTGTAAACTGTGCAGCAGTTTAAGAACGATTTCACCCTGCAATCACCTCTTACCCAACACTCATTTGGAGTGGAAGGAGGGGAGTAACTCTCCTAAAGCTGAGACATTCACAATCAGCACTGGGATTTGACATTTGACCCAGATCACCGCTGCTTTAATACTCCGGCATTTACAAAGAAGTCTGTTATTCTTTACGTTGAGTAACCCTAAACACATACTCGTCTAAAAATCTCACAAACAAATCACTGAGCGAGTTGAAAACCTGCACAGAAACACAAAAACACATACATCTGCAGCTTGAAAAGGTGTCCACTTTAACTACTTAGATAAAAGTCTTATTTTCTTCTTCTTTTTTAATTGTGAGGTAAACAAGACAAGACCAGTAAGGACAGGTGAACAATTCAATTATGACTTCTGTTTTAACCACTTGAAACTGTCGGCCCCAGAGCAAGCCACCAAAGGTGCAGAGAGTGCAGCGCACATACCCCTGGGGTCTTATTTTCTTCTAAACGCAAAGACAATAAAGTAATTGCTAAACTGACCTCAGACCAGTCTCCAGTCTTCCACTGCGGACAGAGGAATTCATTGCAGGGTTGGACGGTCAGCTTGTCCCTTTGACTGCATTTGCTCTCATCGCCACCAGCCTCAGCTGCCTTTCGACACACTGCCCCTCGACGGCGGGTTCCTCCACCGCAGCTCTTGGAGCACTGCAGCACAAACATTTGAGCATCAACAAGTGTAAACACATACACAACCCGAGATAAATTTGGACAAACATCTGGTCAGTGCGGACAAACAAATCCCCGGACTTCCAACTGAGTTCGTACCTCCGACCAGGATGAGTACTCCCAACCACCCGGGTTACAGTCTCCGTGACAGCCTTCCTTGTCATCAGGTTTGCGCTGACCGCTACAGTAGCGGTCATCAACCTTCTGGGTCTTGCCGTCTGCACGGTTGATTTTGGCACAGTATATTTCCAGGGTACGATATCCTTGGCCGCACTGGGCTGTACACTCACTTTTTCGAGCAACGTGCCATCTGCGTAAAGAACAAGTGGGTAAATCTTTGCACTGCAAAGACCAAATAAAGTGTCAGTCAGATGGGTCAAATGGTTTAGAGTGATGATGCAAACCTAAGTTCACATTCAGTGTTGCATGGCTCAGTGATGACAGCAGGTCTCGCTGTGCCGTGGCACCTCTGGTCTGACACCACCACCCTGTCCGATTCTCTGCTACAGAGAATCTTCCGCTTGCGCTCTCCTGTGAGGGCACAAAAATTGAGGTTCTAAGTGACAGCCACTCTAAAACATCTTGGCAACACACTATAACAAAAAATAAATCAAACATGAGTCAAAATGGCAAAGGAAATTGAAGAAAAGCTGTGTCATTTAAATAAAGAGATCTGTTTTATAACTAATAAGAAATGTACAAAGATGTAAACAGAATCTCAAGCTTGAGTTACATTCTCGGGTTTCATAACTTTATCCTGAGATGAAAGTGACTTTTTACTGCCCGACCTGCAAGTAGTTATCTGGGTCGATGCACCATCTGGCTCAAGTAAAACATGGCTCATCGTCGGGAGTGCAATAAATGCCAGCGTGAAAAGTGTGTACACCTCACTTTGGCTTTTGTGTAAAATTACAGCGCGATATGAACCTTAATGTGGCAATAGATCAGCACCTCATGTTACCAAGTTTTGCAGCTGAACGCTATGAGAGCTTAATGTGTTATAGGCTAGATGTTTATCCCGCTGTGAACTGTGGAGTTATTGGTTTCCCTTCAGTTGCTGAAGCAGGGTGGTGTCAAAAAGTGGAGAAAGGCATTCTTAAACAGAAAAAAATTGACTTGTAACACACATAACAGGTTTTCGAGTTTGCTTGCAATCTTCCTCCGCACACCCACGTACTCTGACCTCTCCACAGTCATGCCAAGCAGATGTGCCACGGCATAGTGTAAAACTCATATTTAATCACTTGTACAAAGGCTAAATGCCTAATGTAATGTTTAATGATAACTACAGCATCCTCCATCTCCTGGGTCTCCTGCTCAGCATTTTCTAAATGTTCTTCTTCCTTCATTCCATCTCCATCCCATCTCATTTTTACTCTGACCACACAGTTTATCATTCACCTTTCCCATCATCTCACCCTGCAAACCACATGTGCCTCCCCCTCACCTTGGCACAGACGACTACACTCCTGCCAGGGCCCATAAGCATCCCAGAAGAACTGTTGAGGCTTATCCTCTATGGGAATGTTAAAGGAATACCTGACATCTGGGTTGTAAAGGTTCCCCACAGAAAGCACCTGGGAAAAAGCAGGCAATGTGATATACATTACACAACCTTACAATTGTAAATTTGAAATATCAAGTCTGTAGAAGGATTTATGATTCTGCATTCCTCTCTTCTAAGCTATTAAATCACCATCTTCTATCTTCACATCTTCTGCACAAGATACCAAATTGTCACGATAAGGACAGCTTACCTGGATAACGATTTCCTCTTCTATGCGGTCAGTACAGTTGATCCTCTCAATGACATGGTCGGAACCGCTGTACTCGATGATGGCATTTCCTACTTTGATTTCCCTTTTGAACATGCTAACCACAAACTCCCCGTTAAGCAGAAACTCTCCGCGGCTATTTGATATGGCTACAGGGAGGCAGAAACAGTTAGTTGGCTTCATCACACTGAAAAGAGTTTGTGTAAACTCAAGCTAGCTTTGATTTATTAGCTGATTTCAAAAAAAAAATTCATAAAGGTGAATTACTTTGTGCAAATCACTGTTTATGGCAGGAACCTGCACAAACATGAACTTGTTTCTGTGTGCAGCAGAGCAGCTTAGAAAACACAGTGGCTTAAAATGTTCATTTACAGTAAGGCACACACAGTGGGTAACAGTAAAGCCTTATTGGGCTAAAATAATCCTCTGTTCCCGAAGAAGTCCCATCCAGGGGCACCCTGTTCTGTTCAACAGTCAGTCTTCTGCACTCGTTCACCCTAATGAGATTATGGAGCTAATTTCCTGCCTTTACTTTCCTCGCCATTTCACACATTACACTAATATGGTTGTGGAGAGTGGCATTTATTGCACACGCACACAGACTAAAAAAACAATCAATCTGCTTTGGGTTGTCCCAATATATAGAAACACTGAAACACACAGTTAAGGATGACACTATGTTCAGAAGTTTGCATCAAGGACATACACACAATAAAAACAACACACGAGCACAAAAACACAAGTAGGTCAGTGGTACCAACAGGCTGAGACAGAGCCTTAGAGCAGGTACTAAAGCTTTTAAACTAAGGGACCTTGCTGGATTGGTACCCGCAGGCATTTAATGGATTTGCATGCATAGTATTTGCAAAATCTATGGCAGTTATGCAGTGCCCGGCTTTACACTGAAGGCTGAACGCTGTCCTTCTCATAAACACTCAAGCACATCTCATAAACACGCATCTTTTTAACAGCGCATTCCTCCAGAAATGACTTCAAACAGCACGACTGGAAATGTAAAAATACAATCAAAGTATTAACAATTGTTGGCTGTCTTACCGAGGTAGTTGTCATCCTCCGGTTTCCCTGAGTAACTGTGTTGACGCACATCTATGTTTGTAGCACCACTTGGTATTCGCACCACTTCGTTATAGCCTGCAAATACATATGCAGCGCATTAGCGCACCCAGGTCTGTAAATGCACTAACAAGTGAACCCATCCATCGATGCTTTTCTGCTGAGGTGTGTAAGCAATATAATAACTGCCACAACAGCTATTACCATTTATATGTACTGAAATGGAGACTGATGGGGGTAATAAAAGAGGTTGTTACTCACCATAGCGTACAATGTTAAAGGTGCCTGCTACAGTTTTGCAGGAAGAGTTATCGCCTCCACATACGCCACATTTGTCCCTCCTGGCTTTAGAGTTGAGTACATGATCACAGCCCGCCTGCTACTCAGTACGGGAAGTAGGAAATACACAATAAGAAAATGAAGGATTTTTAATTAAAGGACTTTATTAGAAAATCACTAAATCATAGCAAATATGTAATTGATTCTTGAGACACACTTTAGCTTAACTTTAGTGCATCTATGAATATAAAAATCCCATTGTCTGAGCTGGAATATATTGAAAACTGTGTGTGGTAGGTGCTTACTATTTTATCCACTAAACACGGTTACTGTTCAAGAATGGTCCCTGCTCTGCTATTATTACAAATAACCATGAACCGCTGCTGCTAAATGAACAGAATTAGAAAACTCACTCTGCACAGGCCCTGGACACAGATGTCGTTGGTATCGGGTCCACATGGCGTGCCGTCAATGACCCTGTCCCTGAGCTGATAGTAGGCTGTGCTGCCTGCAACCCTGCAGAACAGCTTACATCTGTCCTTCATCAGAACTGACATAGGAAGATAGAATACAGATAATTGTTTCATGGTGACTCAAATAAATGCAAAGCTTACATTATGGCTGTTATTCATGAAGTAAGTATTAAGATGCCACTGTGATGTGAAAAAAACAATTCTCACTTCCGCTGTACTTGGGCACCCAGCGAACATTTGGAGGTAGACCATTGATGTTAAAGTGCCTGCCGTCAAAAGCAGCACACTGTTCCTCCCTGAAGTCCTTCTTCTGCTTGGAGCAGGGCTCAGAGTTGCAGGAACGAAACTTCATCCGGCGACCAACACAGTACGTTCCTCCATTTCTGGGCCTGAGAGTGAAAACGTGGGATAAAAGCAGTAAAACCCAATCATTCCCTTGTGTTAAGCATCTTTTCTCAGAGGGCACTTATCAGTTTATCAATTTCCCTCTCTTTGCTCAGCCTGTTGTCTACCAACATACACCTAGAGTTAGTTTGTAATTTCCAACTTATCCACATGCTCTACTCTTTTCTATTCATCCATTATTCAGGAAGACTGACTGATCTCCATATTTACCAGGAAACAATCCTGTAAGATATGCCATCAGAGAGCCTGTTTTGATGAGCATTAGCTATGGAAAGAATTCCCTTAAGGAGGTTTGATCTATGGAACACTGACTTTGGACACAAGGTCCAATAGGCATGCGTGACTACAAAGAAATGGGCTGCTCACACGGGTCGGTTGCATTCGCGCATGGCAATCTTTATGCCTCCGCCGCATGTCCGCGAACAGGTGCCAAAAGGACTCCAGACTCCCCACGCTCCCTCAACAGGTGAGGCATCGTGCTCTTTGGCTATACACAGCCCATGTTTGCAGTGCTGCAAGAGAGGAACAAAGGGGAAAAGTAAAGGAGAGATGAGTGAAGAGAAGATAATAAAAAGAAATGCCAACACATCCATCTGCTCTTCTGTGCTTTAAAGCTAATCTGGGAGAAATTTGGAACTGGGAAAAAAATTCACAACTGTGTCTGGCGGGAGAGAGGACAAGAAAATGTCACCCTTACAGTCAATAAATATATCTCAGCTCCAAACAGAAGGATAATTTTATATTGTTAAAAAAAACAGACTTCATTTTAGTCATTAGTGTGGTGTACACTGGCATGACAAGAGATGAGACGAACACAAACACCAAAAGGTTTCAGCTTGTCTGTGTGTGTGAGTGTACATGTTTAGACAGAAAATTGGCATGCTACTATTCTTGTGGGGACCAACAGGGACTTATGGCCGTCCCCACGAGTTTTAATGCATTTTTGAGGCTCAAAATGTGGTTTTAGTGTCAGGGTTACAATAAAGTTATGGTGAGGTTTATGCTAAGGCTTAGGGTTAGACATTCAATTTTGATGGTAGGGTTAGGGTAAGTTGCTAGGGAAACCATTATGTCAATTAGATGTACTCACTAAGATATGAAAACGAGTGTGTGCCTGTGTGTGTGTGTGCATCTGCAGGTCTTGGGACCTGGAGGTGTAGTTCGGCCGGTCCATGGTGCTTTCATGTCTCAGTCTTAGTGACAGGAAGCAGGAAGTCAGTGCAAAAGTTCTAATTATAAGCTCAGGCAGAGTAAGCATCATTCACAGCTTTCCACCACTCATTTACTAGTAACAAGAGTTTACATGTGTCAGTGGAAACTTGGCTTTTGGCAAGTCTTGCTTTGTCATTTTGCACAACAAATTATCGTGCATGTGTTGAGATAACCTGCCAGTGTTTCCCTCAAATTTTACAAATGACATGAAAAAACATTTAATAAATCCAACTAAAAAGGAATCTTTAAAACCAACAATAGCGAGATTTTTCTTTTTCATGTGTTTTGGCAGATTTTGGCTTTTCTATGAGTCAAAAAAGCCACAACATGAGAACATTTTAAAGTAAAATGTTTCTTACCAGTAACTTGACACAGTTGGGTAAAACCACTTGACATAATTTGTAAAGTACATCTAAAAAAACATAATATAAACATAAAAAAAAAAACATTTCGTTGATTGTATAACGTCCCCTCTTCCTGGCCACCAACACTAGGCAATGCTAAGGTTCATGGACTTTTTTTCTTGTGGTAGGCTTAAATCGCCACCTTCAGCCGAACTGAAATGATTCAAATATGGCATTCCACCCCTTACTTAATTATCCCCAAGCTTCTGGCTTAATTAAAATCAGTTCAAGGGTCTTCTCCTTTACCATTTACACACTAATGCATTACACTATCAGCATTACCCTTACCTTTCCAGGTGAACAGTCGGTGCCATCTGCCCACGGCATGTGCTGAGTCCTGCAGCCCCGCTGGGCGCCCTCTGGACTTGTGCACCATAGTCTTCGACACTGGGTCTGAGAACAAACGAACACACACACACACTAAGAGTCAATGCTGGGATTCCAGGAAAAAAAAAAACTAAAAGAACAAGCTATGGCTCATAAATGTCACGTTTATTTCCCTGACTGTAAACAACTCCATTAATATACAGCATGGACTCAAGCCAGCAGACTTCCAATTTAGCACATTCTATCAAACAATATGCCTCCCTACACTAAATTTGCTGCATCAACAATTTCATTTGCCAGGTATTTCTAAGCCTGCGTGACCTTTTAGACTGAGGGAAAACCACAAGCCAAGAAACTATAGTGTCACATATTTAAAGACATTTCTGTATTATTAAACTGAAATGTCACTTTTTTAACTTAAATTCAAGTTAAATCTGGCTTCACTTTGCTTGTGTTTCAGACGAGAACATGTTAAACGTGGCAAGTGACTTTAAAGGCTTCAGAGTCATCCGAGAACCTCTGCTGCACTGAATCTCAACTCCCTCAGCTCCCCTCTGAGACCCCCACGTGCAACATGACAGTTCAGACTTGCACACCGAGTCCGCTTACCATATAAGGGCACACCTGCGTTCCCGGCCCAAATATCAATTCACACTGTTTATTGACATTGTATATCCGCCCGGGCAGCTGCTGCGAGAGAGCGTACGGTCTAGAAACGGGCTCATCGAGCAAGCACTCACCATATCCTGTGCTATTAAGAAATAAAAATAAAATGACTTAAAGAAAAGGGATAAAAACAAGAGAAACAAACAGACAGAAAGCACACTCAGTACAGCTGGAGTGGTTATTTTTCTGCACAAATACATCTTGAAAAACGTCTTGTGTTGAACTAGCTATATGTGGTAAGTGGTGGGGAACTCAGGAAGTCAAGGATGGAGGGATACTATGCATTGCTTTGGAGGTAGGTCATTAAATATTATTACTCCAAGAGTTCTGGGTCTTTCTCAGTGTGTACGAGAGACGAGACTAGAGGGTGCAACAGCCCTGAGAAATGATGACAGTTTGACTGTGGCTACCAATGCACTGTGTGTGTTGGCGTGTGTGTGTTTGTGTAAACCTGCACAGTTATTAAAGAATATTTAGCCAGGTTTTAGGGGGTCATTTTTGCTACGTTTTCCTAGTTCTATTCCCCATGCATGTTTGGAACAATGATGAAGACAACAGTATGACATACTCAAGGAACTCTGTGATGTACTTCCTGCTACACTTGGACCACATCCAAGGGTTTGTGTTGTAATTAAGTGTGGGAGCCATCACATGTTGTTGAATCTTAACTCCATCCTCCTTACACTTGTTACTGTCATCGTGAGGCATGTTGAACCTGGAAGAATAGAGGAAAAAAACATTTTCAGGCATTAAAAAAAAAGCTATTTATATTAACAAGCAACAAATAGAGCGTTTTCAAATGTCCCCACTAGCTGTACTTCCATGGCTCTGCATGGCTCTGTTTTGCCAGTGTGGTTATTGCTTCTTGGCAGGACGTCAACTTCTTGATATGTTTTATTGTGCTTCACAAAGTGGCAGTGACAAATAGCAATTTGTGTTGTGTTTGACTGTGCTTCATTTCTTCAGCGACATCTAAACAGCAATTCTATTTTTCTACTGTAACTATCTTATTGGCTTTGGGAAACTCATTCAAGGTTGCTATACAAAATAATGCACAGCATTTGTATTGCCTGCCTGTGGCAAGACTGGATAGAAAGATATTAAATTATATGAAAACTGGGAGGAGAATAAGTGAAGCATTCAAGCTCCTGCAGGGTAAACAAATGTGCTCCCGGTCGATGGTGGACAGGTACTCCTTGTTGCTAAGCTGTCCACCTACAACACCGAGCTTTGTCGCAAATCAGTCATCAAGCATGCTGCCCCAGCCTGATGCAGATAAATATGTAACCCAATAATCCCACCTTTTTGTATAGTGGTAGAAAAGGAGCATTTGTTTGAGATGAGGACTATTAAAGTCTTTAACAGTCTCCAGAGTAGAACGCTTACTCAGGACTTTGGACAGTGGAGAGTTTGCTGAAGGGCAAAGGAAACCAAGAAGTGGTTTAAATTCAATTCTGAGAATCCAGGTTACAGATTTTTTTTGCTCTCAAAATGAAAAGCAGGGATACATTTTTTTATCCAGATGTGCAGAATTTATGGTATCAGCTGTTATAAATTCCTAGAAAGTGTTATGAAGCTCTAGTAATGTGTAACTAAGAACAAAGCCAAGTATTTATGACTGATGAAAAAACAAATCAGTGGAAAAAAGTCAGCCGCTCTTACACATGTCCAAGTTCGTGGGCAATGGTGAATGCAGTACTGAGTCCATTGTCCTCACTGATGCTGCAGCTCCTGTAGGGATCACACACGGTCCCCAACTCTGCAAGTCCTGAATAAGAAGAAGTTCAGTTTATTTTCTTTTGTATTTATTTAATGTACATTTCTACTATAATTTGTATCACTCTGTTAAAAAAAAAGAAAAGAAAAAGAACAAATATGCATTTACCTAAGGTGTCACACTTATCCCTCGCTCTACAGATGTCCTGCCTGTGGTGAAAATAAAGATAATTGATCTCGGTCATTGTTAGTCTACATTTTAGAATTTTGTCAGGATCCCTCTACATTTTTGGTTCACGGAATATTTGCATTTTGAAAAATGAAAGCTTCCACAATTCCTCTTGCACCTGGTGATTAGGATGGCAGTGTCGTGATGGGAGTGGTGGTTATCATCCAGGACGTTCTGACTCTGCTGCCAGATGCAGAAGTTCTTTAAAGTGGTCTGTGCATTAAATGAAATAACTGGACCATCCTGAGAAGGACACAGAAAAAATAATAAATTATAGGAACGTGCACCATGTTGTGGCGTGGAAGCAAATTAAGTATTCTTACCAGCTCATTGTTTATTATAACTAACTTTACAATCACAATGTTAATCAGGTTTCCAATGCTGGGGTCCTTGTATATGGAAGACACCTGAAAAAAACAACAAAGAAACAAAACGTGACCTCAAACCTAAAGAGAAAATCAATGTTTAAATTAAGTTGAGCCAGATTGGATGTGACACTGTATATTTAGTGATAGTGGTTTTATGGGCTGCTTACTTGCAGTTTCAAGCAAGTACCAGAGATTTTGTTTGATTGAAGAATCAGAATGATAACAGCTTGAGCCCCTGTGGACAAGTCAGCCTTTCCCCAGACTAGAATATGGGTCATCGCTGCCTCCCCAGAAGGACTTTCAGTTCAGCCCCAGATGCAGGCGGAAACTGGTGTTTGAAGTGGTCGAGAGTATGCAGCCTATGTAGCATACCTGAGACCATTTTTTAACATTCATCAAAGCTGTCAGGCAGGCAAGCTGCCCTCTCTTCCCCCGAGCCGTTTGAAAATGTTGTTTACCCCTGCCCTAAGGTGCCCTTTTACCTCCCTCAACTCTCCTCCAAAGGCTGACTGACTTGCAGCACAAACAGCAAACAGCAAAGAGGAACACGTGTGTACATTTAGTGCATGAGTGTGCACGAAGATGTCCTACTCTGTCCATATCTGCGCAAAAGATTTCTACCAACCAAACATAGAGATCAGAACTTACTATAGACATTAACGTGAGTATGTAGTGCTGTAGGTTGCTGCCGTGATGCTCCACCATTTTGCTGTCGGCCACCAGCATAACTTCAACAAAGCGCGGGTAGGAGAGGAAGCGCTTTGATCTCCTGTGAGGTCCTGAGTCACCGCTGCTATCATTTGACGGTCTAGCGCTAGCACTGCCATGCTGTGATCTGAGCAAAGCATTGCTGGCCAGGCCAGCGCTCAGTGACTCCAGGTCATTGAATACACCAGTACTGACCACAGGGACTGCTTTAACCACAGTGCTGACCCCAGCCGCTGTCCTTCTTTTCACCTTGTGTCTCTTATGTCTGTGTTTGTGTCCTAGAATGAGAAGCCAAAAGAAATGGAGCAAATGTAAATATACAGGAGTGCAGGCCTGAGAAGACTGGAAGCATATTCGCTCAAACAAGGCAAGGAATAATTCATTCTTTGTCAAGAAGATGTGTTTGCTATTAAGCTGAAGTCATGTTTAACTTTTAAATGATGGAGCTATATGAGATCTGGAAGTGGATATTGTCAAAATAAGCTCCCCCCTCCACTGAAAAGAGTTTGCTGACAAATGAACATTGCCTGAAGTGCCTTTTCTTTTCCTCTCAGAAAAGGGAGGAAAAGAGGGCAAAGAGTTCAAGCAAGGTAAACCTGGAACCCAGCCATAAAAAGAGAACACAAATTGCTGTGCACACATCAAATGAGAACAATCCAACAACTGGGAAGCATTTTTCTTTAACTCTGGAAAGGTTTTATGTCCTTAGATAACATCTGCTGAACTACTGAGTCTTTTTGTTTTCAGATCATCCTTACTGGATTAATTAATAGCGCTAAAGATCAATTTGCCGTTCCTAAACACCCGCAAGAAAGAAATGTAATCCATGTATACTTTTTTTCACATTCAACTGAGAAGTATTTTGTAAAATATCATGCTAAAAGTCTTTTCTTGTATGATATGTTTACAGCATCCTTAGCTCCATCTTTGTTTGTATAGTTAAAAAATGTAGTCTGTTGGAGTGGCTAGTAACAGCTTCTTTTTGGTATGTCACATTGGATAAACTGAAGGTTACCACTGGATAACTTTCATACACCACTCTAACAAAAAACACATTTGCATGAGCGGTCATGGTCAGCTCACTGCAGTCAATCAGGAATCAATCTGTGTGCAAGCTGAAGGCTGGTCAAATGCAAGAGCCAACGACGTTTGAAGCCTTTTGGCATTTTATGCAGCGTGAATGATTAAATATTAAATTCATATTTTGTCCCTGCCCATTTTCTGATTCCTTATTGTCTCTTTTCTTTTTTTTTTACTGATTTTGATCAAATCAAAAATACATTGTTTGTGTGTGTGTTGTGTCTCCATTCTCAGTTCAAAATAAAAAGAATGGTCTACAGATTCAATAGCACTTTGTGCAAGGCTGAATGAATCGTGTCCAGAATAGCGTTTAGTCTCATTTATGTTACTTGAGGCTAAAATGAAAACACAAACAATCACTCAAATGGAGTGAGAGCAAGCATCTTCAGAAGGATCTCCAGCACACAAAGACAAACGATTTCCATATTTATTGCTTTTAGTTTTGATTATTTTACCGTTTCAAGTTGACATCACTTATGTAAAAATTTACACTACATCTTCGTGGAAGTAGGTCTACCAACTTTCTTATCAAAGGAGCAGAGGAAGTACAAGAGTCAACAGGAAGTTCAGCCAGTAAACTGAGATGAGGCGATATAAGTGTGAGCTTCCAAATGATTCTTCTTGTGCGAGAGCTGGAAAACTTCCTCATTACTGTACTGCAGCTGTGGGCACTGCACTGTGCAGGCTGTAGCATGACATGCAAGCCAGGATAGTTTCATACTATACTTTAATCTTGTCATTACATCTCTGACTGTAGCCTATTTATGGCAGAATGTATTATTTTATTTAGATATAGAACTTTAATTACTTTAATATTTAATCAATTGCATTATTAGTTTGATGGTGGTTTTTACGCTGCCATTTGCTTCGGGTTCACTTTAAGTCTTTATGGTCATTGCACAGTCATACTTTGTACAGTACTACAACAAAATTTAAGTACTGTTCCACATTGGTGCCAAAAGAAATTCAAGCTATAATTGCAATAAATAATATATGTACAAAATATATACAGTCATTTATGAGTCCAGACATTCCTTCGGTGCCCAAAATCAACCCAACACTGAGGCACCACTGAAAGTTAAAAACAGTACATCTCCAATAAAAATAATTCACTAAAAAAAAGAGGATTTACAAGGTTTAATGACATTAGAAGTTAGCAGGAAGTTATGTTGCTAGTTCCAATCTAAAAATGATAAACCAGATTCTTATTAAAGTAGTTTTTTAAAAAAAAAAAAAAAAAACAACCCTAAATGTTCAAACTCTGCTGTCTATGGAGGACTAAAGAGCAGTGAAATAAACTATGCAGTGGTTAGCTACACAGCTATGGTTATGCTAATATAAACACATTAGCATGAAGGATGAGGGATACATTTTTCCTCAGTAAAGGTTTATGTTGAGGGTGCTCGATGGTCAGAGACACATACCATCACATGGCAGGAAAAAGACATGGAAACAGACCAAACTTCAGCTAACAGAGATTCTGAGAAGTTCCCATTCAAAAGACAAGGTTAGCTACTAATATATACCTGTGTGGTTTGGATTAGGTGTGATCTAAGCTTCAGTATCAACACTGAAATCTTAGTCTACTTTGTCTCCTCTCCTCTGCTCGCTGCCTCACAAAGTGTATGTGTTTGTGTGTGTGTGCACAAACCCCCTGTCAAACTTGAGTATTCCCAGCTAGCATTTATTTATCATACAACTTCAACCGCCTGACAAGCACAGGAGGAAAAGTTTGGACCCATTTTTGCTGTCAGAAATGAGCTATTCTTCTTCAGTGCACCACAACAATATAGTTTTATGTATGGAATTCAACTCCATACAATAAGAAAAAAAATAAGCAAATGAAAGGAAAAAGAGGCCCCTCCCACCAATTAAAAAGTTGTGTTTGCATTAACCAGATAAGCAGCAGATCATCCTAGAGGGCCATGGTACAATTACTGTAATAGCTCACTGACTATTATATAATTGGTTCCTGTTACAGCTGATAGTGGAGACTTTAAATTTGAGTGATTACATCTGCGCAAACCAATTTAAAGGTCCCATGTACATAGTGGCACACAAATGTCAAAATTGTCTAATCACTCTGTCCCCTGTCCCACTAAAGCACTAAGATGTGCATTAACCAATTACATCTAACCAATATATACTGTTTCTAGACACTGGGAGGTCCATGCTCAGCAGCAGACGTATGCTGTTTTAATAGAAAGAGGACACTGGGTGAGGGTTTACTAGATCAGATATTTAGGTCAGCTGACTGGTCAAACACAGCACTTCAGTAGCAAGGTCTGGACCTGACGTTTTAGGTACAGAGCTGTGTCTGTTATATATCCTAATGGCTTACTCATCATATAATGTACCGTACCTGAAGTATCACAAGCTGAGGTCTCCTCAGTGGTCTGTTTCTTGGGTGCACTTTTCCTGTATACAATATGAGGTTTTGTGTGTTCCTCTTCATAGTGTTCTCCTTGATAGCTGTGAAGGGGCTCCACAAAATACTCCCCTTCTGGAGACCTGAAAGTGCCGAGCTGTGTAACAGAGAAGACACATAGCAGTTAGGCTACAGCTATCTATATTCTCTAAGTGCTTATAAAACCAAGGAGAATAATCTATATCTCGAGGATCTTTTAGTATTGAGCTCAGTGCAGATCACATACCAGTTTGTACTTAACGTAGGAATGTAAAAAATAAGCAAAACACAGACATAGTAGCTTTCAGTGGTAAAAACAAAGTACATTTGCACTCATGTTATAACAGAGGAAAGGTCTAAATGTGAGACCTTTGATGTCTATCAGGAAAACACTAAGACTGTATGTTCTTGGCAAGTATGCTGCAAACCTTGTATGTGTTTGGCACGTTTAGCATGAGTTGGTTAACTTAGAGGTCTAGGATGTTCCAGATAAGATTCGTGGACAGTAAAGCACACATATGGAGAACCATCATGAAAGCTTGGGGGGGAAAGGTTGGTATAATGTTTGCTTGCCATATGTTTCTACTCCCAGATAATCAATGATAAAATATATATATGGTATATCATAAGGAAAAAACGATTTGGCTATGTGTATTAGTATTTGATGCTATTTGATGCTGTTTGTTCTGCTTACATTTTGTTTAGCAAGACATTTTTTCGATTACTCTGCAAAGGCCTGCACTTGAACTTTTGTCTGGCAAGACAAAAGAGGATCTCACTACAATAAGTTATTTTAGAATTTACTGCAATGAAAGGCAGCATTGCCTGTTTTAGGATGGAGGTTTTGGATAAATAATAATATATGCTTCATAAATGTCAGCTCAGCCCCACAAAAGTTCCCTGCAGAGCAGAGGATTCAAAGCATTTTATGTTTGATTTGTCATTTGGGAACAAAGCTGGCCTATTACTCTTGTCTGTCACTTCACTGTGGTTTCTATGTATAAACTCCTCTGAGTGCACTTTTCCTCCACTACAAAGCATCACTCATCAGGACTCCCTCTTTAGGAAGCTTGGGAGCTGGAACGACTTCGTCGTGACGTCAGTACCACCCGTACTCCGGCTGAACTCGCGTGCATAAAGACGTCACCGACTACCGGTGGACCAGAAAGAGACACGAATGTGGAGTAAACCTGAGTGCAGTCAGCCGACTTAGGCTCTTTGCAGCAAGCCACAGCCGAGATTCTCGGTAACTGATCAGTTACTTACTTTCTGGATGCGCCCCACTACACGATCCTACCACGAATACAATTTTGAACAATTTTCAAAGTTTAATTTTTTTTCTTAAATCAGCTACAGCTTCACTCAAAAGTCTCCAAAACACGTACACAACTTTTTATGCCCTCATGCTGTAGAAGTAAAGTGAATGTAAAATGATCACGCGCACGACGAGTACAACCGCGCGTAAAAACTCACCAGTCCAGAGCACAGACTGATGACTGCGGCGTGCTCTGCATGTGCATTTACTTGTCCTTTGTAAAAGCAGTGCCTTAACTCCGTGTCCTCCTCCTCCTCCTCTCTCTCATCTGCTGCAAAATCCGTTACGTTCTCTCCTCGGGCTACTCCAAGTATTGTCACAGTGTAGAGAGGTGCGATAAATCCCGAATCCAACGTCAGGTTGAGGTGATAGTCCTGTCCGAAAGCAGATATCCTGTAGTGGATATTCGGCGAGGCCCAGTGATCCGTGCTATTGCCTGTGCCCTCATCCAAACTTCGCCTTTTCCTTTTGAAGTGCACACTGGTTGGAAACTTGTCACCGGCTTCATTCACTCGCACCGGTGTTACAATCTCATAAGCGCCGACCTCCTCGTTTACTGTGGAATAAAGGTAGAAGAATGTAAATGTGGTTTTAAAAAACAGTCTGCTTACATTATAAATCAGTGGGTAAAAAGGTTTAAGGATTATTATTCTATCAAAGTTGTTTCTGTCTTGAAAATCTGTTGTTTTAGTCAGAAAACGATAGTCAGTGAACTTCAGGCATCTAAACGCTGCAAGTCATTCGCTTGACTGAATTCAAAACTCATTCATTCTCTGCCGTCAGTGTTAGAAAACAGCTGCATGAGAAATTTTAAGAAATGCGGGGTTTGTCACAGCAAAATACTTTACCCGTGCTTGAATTCAAAAGCAATGTCCCCGTAGATGCGACTACATTCAAGAAATCAGGGAATAGTAGGAACCCCAAGCCCCAGAAGAGCACATGCATGATTGTCCACGTTCAGAGGAGAGAGCCAGCCTGTATTCCCTTAGTAGTACTGTATTCCTGCGGTAACTCCGGGCTTTCCGCCTCCGGTCCGCCTGCCACATCCAATTTTATTATCCTAGACTCTTGAGTTGATGGTCTCTGGCCGATGAAGTACACTGCTGGGACGTGAGCGCGTCGCGGATTCCCTGACGAACATGCATACTGCAGAGAGGAGTGGGCTGCTCCAACACTCAACTGCGATGGGCTCCGCTTGCCCGTGAACCAACTCTCTCCCTAGCTTAGAGGGGCGGGATCAGTCTAATATAATATTATCAGTTGTGTTGTTTCAATCTATACCACCTATACTCAGAGAAACAGCTGCCCAACTAATCTGACATAACGTGTAGACAACGTGTGCGCAATCCAGCTGCAAATTTGCATCGTGACACAAAGTGACATACCGACTTTTATTGTTGAGTTAATCACGTTTCAGAGGGGTGGACAGATGCGCAGCAGATCGGTGACTATGACAGTGAGGTGGGGCCCATATAGGAAATGCCTGCCCTGGGGGCAAATGAGATAATCTTAGCTGTATACTTAGAAGTTCACGGGATCACAGAGTGACAAAATTCAAACTGGCAACCGTATACAGCCGTATACAGGCATTGCTTTAGGTCTTAAGTAGGTGATGGAAAAGGTATTGTCTGAGGACAGTGGTTATGGTTTCATTAGGGTAGTCTTGAAAAATCTGGGTCAGTCATCTCTCAGGGAGATATTCCAGAAAGATACTTTAACAAAATTACTCGGGCGTTACTGTAGTGCATAATCTGGATTCTGACATGTACTCAGGTAGATTACTCCATTTAGACTCATTTGATTGAAGGCATCTGTGCATGCTTCCCAGCCCACATAACCTTATGTGGTGATAAATGCTTGCAGCTGGCATATGACTTCACAGCTCATTTGTTGTGTGCAATCAACACACATGGCCTAGAATGAGGCTACATGAAACACTGGGTGTGCAGGTGCATAGCTGAAATTAAGCTGTTGTTCAAAAACACAAAATAAAACAAATAAAAGTGGAGAAAATAGCTCAGTTGCTTCTGTAATTATGTTGATTTCATATGCGTGTGAAATCTGTTTTTCTTTTTCTTTCTTTCTTTTTTAATAGAGAACATCTTTAAATAAATTCACACCAGCCTTTTTAATCATGGCTTTTTCCTCTTCACAAAACCAACATTCTTGGCGAAATGGCAATTGGCCACCCATTTGCACCAGTAAGGGCTAATTTTCTTGTATGATGGATGATCCACCATGAACAAGTTTAGTATGATCATAGGGGTCAGTAAAATGTTAGCATTTGAGATCACTGGTTGTAATGACCCACACTTGAAGTTCCTAAGAATACCTTTACGTCATGACTTAAAAGAATTCCCAAGCCTCCTAGCCCTTCCACTGGAGCTGGAGCACTTTTTTTCTTTTTTTTCTTTTTTGGAAAACCATCCCAAATAACAACCCAGGGACAGCTGTGGGTCACAAACCCCTGTTAAACACACCCCTTTTATCTCCAGTTAGTCTCTTTTCCAAGAATTCTTTTTAACACAGTTTTACAGCACACTGGATCACAGGTAAGTAATAACAGTTGGGAGAAAATGTGCTTAAGTAGCATGTTTATGTACAGCAAATACAACTTCAGAGGGCTATTTACTCTTGTTCCAGTTGCTGCATTGTTACAGATGCTATTCATTTAAAAGAAATTATAATTATGTTTTTCAACGAATGGCTATTTGAGTTACTGAAGTCACTGTTGACACAGCGTTTATGAAAATGGATTAAAAAGCTACTTTTCCAACTTAAATATCAGCATATGGTTAACATCTTCGGTGGGCTGATTTTGATTCTCAACAAAGCGGTTACTACAACTGGGGGCGTGTAGTGTGTGTATATGTGTTCTCAATGAATGGTGGTCACTGAGGTCATCAGAGTCACCCTTCCTGATTTGTGTGCGGGCAGCATCATTCAGAAGAGCTATCAGCAGTGTAAACTTCACTTCCCCTCCAGATCAGATAAAGAGCTGATAGGAGGCGGAAAGCTTGAATGAAGTAGCCAAGCCTGGCCTGGGATTTCAAAGAGATACACTTTAATTGTTTGGCTTTTAAAATGTCCCTTTACTTGATCTTACCCTCAGCCCCCACCCAACAGACCTTCCCGGCCCAGTGATCTTGACAAGGCAATATCCCTGTGTAGTGTAGTGAATGTGAAAAAGACCAAGTGCTGAATCTTTATTTCAAGATCATTCATTCATAGACATGCACACCAAAATTGACTTCAATTAAGTCTTAAAAAATAAAAGATTTTCACGATGAAGCATAAAGGATGATTTCAGTAATGCGAGTGAAGAGACTGTCCAAAGTTTGGTGGCATGGCAACCAATACTTCTGTATTACTTGTCAGCTGGTTGCAGGGTGAACAGGCTGTGGGTCAGGTGGGGTTTCCTTTCCTTTTGTCCTGTTTTTTTCCTCTTTACATCACTTAAGTTTTAATCAGTGTTAAAGGAAATATAGTTATTCTTAAGATGGAAATTAATTTGTGTACCAAATGTATTGTTGAGCACTCCAATATTTGTTGAGATATTTCACATTAAAACACATGAGATGCTAAATTCATGGTCCCACACTGGTGCCTGTTTGCATACGGACAGACTGACATAGCTACTGTGACATCACCGCTGGCTTCTGAAAGTCTCGAAATGAGCGCTGGTTCTCAAAAAATGGATGTGACTTTGACATGGCATGCTCATTCGCCAGTGATGTGATTGACAGTTAGTTAGCCAATAAGCATGCTCTCTCTTATGAAGATAATTCTCCATTTTGAAACATGGTATGACCAAGATTTACAAAACATACTAAAATATTTTTTCAGTATAATCGAAAATGAGTGACTGACCCTGTCAATTTAGCAGGAAAGTGTTAAAGAGGTCGACACAGAAAGCCATTTTCTTGTAGACTTATATGTGACCACAAGTATTTTTGCAGCCACAGCTATCGCCATCTGGTGGTCTTCAGCTGAAATGCAGTTTTATGTCACTTCTGCATTGGCTTCACTTTTCTACATCATTGTTTTTCTGTGTATGAATTCAACACATAGCATGGCATAACCGATGCATTGATTGAATAATCAAAATAACCAAATGATCCATGTATTTTCTTTATACCGCCCCCTGGTGATAGTGTATAGGCATAACATGTAGTCATAGGTATGAAAAGCTCTTTATAGCTCCTGCTGACTACCCATGCATGATTATGCTGGTCATTACATGAATTCATTCAGGAGTCTTTGAGATATTACAGTGGACTCCAAAACAGTCCACTTGTCAAACATTGCCATCCATTAAGCCAATGTTTTACCATAGCCCAACAAGGCAGAAAATACATATCGCTATTTCTTGAGGAGTTATTTTGTTTGCTGAATATTTTGTGGTTCCAATGCATATGTCTGTTTGCGTTTGTGATTTCTAAAATGGAAAAATGTCTCAAATAAATACCTCAGAGCTTCCATTTCTGTGGCCTGTACATAATATACATCAGTATAATCCACAGGCCATGAAACAGATGTATTCCTAGGAGAAAAAATATGGTTTCTGTGGCTGCACACTTACTACATCTTTCAACATGAGACTACTTGGACTTCCAACAGTACATTGGTAAATAACCAGACACAGAGATGCATGGCTTCCTAAGACCTGTAGGCAAAGACGGGCAACCACACACAAACACAAATGGGTGCACATGTACAAGCTAAGTCACATGCTCTTATTCTTTAACTAGCAAAGCAGACAGCAGGGACTGAGAGTTTTACCAGCGAGGAATGGAGGGAGGGGGAGGTAATCCTGTAAATGGGCTTTTTAGGATAGTCTCAGGCAAGTTTATGTTGGGTGAGAGCTTGAGCGAAAACATTGTTCAACATCTGAAGTGCAATTAAGGCTTTGGTGGAGCTTTCACAGACCACAAGATAGAGGTCTGGATTCTGCCCAAGTCGTACAGCAGCTGTCAGCAGGTCTCTCCAAAATCAGAATGCTTCCCAGATTCTCTGGCTCTCTGTGGAATGGCAACAATAGACTTCATGCCAGAGACCAAATTAATCACTCCACAGATTCAAGAGGGGAGGGGGATAGTCATCAGAGGTGTAGTGCAGCACAGCTTGTGTAGCACTGTGACAAAAGGTACCACATTCGTACAGTAGGGGATCCAACCTCGGTGATCCTTTAAAATCCAAAAAGCTTTCTTTAATGAACTCTTTTGTTTACAGAGGAGTGAGCAAACAGAACCACTTCTTCACTAAGTCTTTGTAGAAGGTAATCCATTCTTTCACACCAATATTATGATGCATTCACAGGGTGAAGAGTAAAGTCTGCAGTAGGAGGTTCTGGACAACTATGGTGTTATGATAAGACTATTAGTAGTTTGGTCTTATTCACGTTTGAGAATGCTTTTTCTCACGTGAAAGTGACTCTGCGTATTAGTACACATAACAAATGTTTCAGTCATGTGAAAAAGTCGGAACATCAGATGGAAATTGTTGGCTTTCAGGCCACCACTTCAACCTCTTTGAAGCCGAGTCTAAAAATAAAGACGGTATATCGAGACAAATTACATGTAAAACTGACATTTTATGGTGACTTTTTTATTTGACATGACACCAACTATGAATCGCACCGACTATGAATCTTGGTGGTGGAAAAGTCTTGGTTTGAGGTTGTTTTGCTGCCTCTGAAACTGCAGCTTGGAGTCACTGGTTTAACTATGAAATCTGCATTATATCAGACAGCAATTTAAGAAAACAAGACACTCCGATACTAACTGATAGTTAGTTTTGCCAGACATTTGGGTTAGATACTCATTTGCAACACCATACCAACACTCCTGTTTTAACTTAACTAGTTGATACACAGTTTCATACATCACAGTTGCAGACAGGCAGGCGCACAGCCCCACTAGCAGCTGAACACACGAAGGCAGCACAACAAACTTGGAATCTTAAAGATTGACAACCAGTATTGATGAGGAATTTTGCAAGGTTAGTAAAGCTCCTGTTTCAGCAGCATTTAAGTATTCCATAGTTATAATACATGTTAACCTGGCCAGCACTGTTTAACTTGTTAACTTTAACTTGTTAGCTGTTTAACTATTAGCACTTACCTGATAGTCATTATTAAGATAGTTGGTAGTAACTAGTAATAAA